TGGGACTCATGTCCCTGCAGGTTCTACCATGTCAGGAAGGTTGTTTGGATAGCGGTTAAACTAAAAGCAGTTATCATGGGGTACACGGGCTCCAGTATCCCATCGGATCAAATGGCGTATGATGAACCCATATGGGTCACCGGAAACCATGGGAATGCAGCTCCTGACGCTGCTTCTCTGCCTTGCGGATTAGACTCCAAGTCAAAGGCTCGCGGGGTGGTTCCTTACAAATAAAACCACCTGCTTCGGTCTAGGCGCCCGGGTAGTGTCTCAGCCCTCACACAATGAATTAAATAAAGCAACAAACACTGAAACTTATCGCGTGCTATTACACGTGTTGCAATTTCCTTCTTTCTTCCCTTCCCGATGATAGTTAACGAATACTGTTTGAACTTGTTAAGCGTGACTGTTTTCCTTCCAGATGAAGTTCTTTATCCGTTCTCTACTTATATATTTTTTCTCTTCTTTCTATTTTTTCTTTTGATCTATGTTGTTTTATTATTATTGTGTGGCGCATCCTTCTTGGTGCCATATTGTACCAAGTTTTGATGCGTTTAAATAAATAAAAATAAGCAACATAAAGTTCAGCGTTAAAAAAAATACCAGGTTACCTTTTCTTTTCGACGATTCATTTTCATGAGCTGTACTATCATAATTATAATTAACAAAGAAATCCCTAGACGAATCAGATATTGGTAACTTTTGTCCTTGAAAAGTTGTATTACATAATGTAAAGTGTAACTGAGAGGGGATGACTAATTGTAAGTTAGAAAGGAGACAGAAGTTGGCATATCTTAACAAGTATGACTAATCAATAAGCTCGTGTAGAGTGGACAGGAACTAGTGGAAAGGCTATAAAGTGCTTTTTATATAAAATCTGTATGAAAAAGCAATGTTATTAATAAACACTAATAGAGTGGTAATAAAATGTGAATGATGGGAATAATAATGATAACAAGAGTGTTAATATATTAAATATTCCCATAGTAAAATTTAGAACAACAAATTTAAGCGAACAATATTGTTTTGAATTAGATCGCATCAGGCTTAACTCTATATATATAAGTTTACAAATAAAATTCCAATATAAACCAATCATGGTGTTTTGTCTATAGGATAAATATAAATTGAATATAAATTGTGCAATCAGTCATAATAGTAGTAATGATAATATTAATCAGGGTAATGATAATAATAGTGATAATAATAATGATCTTATCACATCTATGTGTATTTATCAATTCAACTGCACCTGCGGTGAGTTATGTTGGGCGCATTACTAGACAGCTTAGCCAACGTGTTAGTGAACATCTCCCATCGTGGTTGGGCAAAGGACAGACAAAAACAATCCGTAGCTCAATTCTGTCACATTTAATTCATAGTGGTCATGTAGCCGAGAAAACAAAAGCCTTCAAAGTAATTCATCGTATCCCACCGAATCTTTCTAATAGACTTCGTATTCGTCTACTGCACACAGCTGAGGCGATAGGCATCCGATTGAACTATTAAACCTAAACTATGCATTCAAAAGAAGTTCGTACAGCCATTATCCCTCCCGTAGCCTAATAAGACATAACCAACTAAAGACCTCTACACCACCCCTTGTTTATATTTTCAACCCCTTTCTTATCATCCCTTAAACTTATCTCCATTATAAACGTGTTTCATTTCCTTCCCCTACAGTCAGTCTAGCATTACTTAATCGATTCATTTGTTTTTACTAGCCTTTATCGACTACTTCCACCTGAACATTTGTTTATTTAATCATACTGTTTCTCATTATTCGTGTTATCACAGATTGCCTCACTTTTTCATCCTTATTATTGATAAGACCACTACTATTATTATTATTACTATTATCATTACTACTATTATAACTAATTGCACAATTTATATTTACCATCGTATTATCCTATAGACAAAACACCATGATTGGTTTATATTGGAATTTTTATTTGTAAACTTATATATATTAGAGTTAAGCCTGATGAGATCTAATTGAAAACAATATTGTTCGCTTAAATTTGTTGTTCTAAAAGTATTAATAACAATAATAATAGTAGTGAACTTACATAATAAAGGAAAGAAGCAAAACTGTAGTAAAAACTTTACTGTGGCCATGGTAATGCATTATTATTATTATTAATCCCATTATCCACATTTTATTACCACTCAATTAGTGTTTATTAATAACATTGCTTTTTCGTACAGATTTTACACAAAAACACTTCATAGCCTTTCCACTAGTTCCTGTCCACTCTACTCGAGCTTATTGATTAGTCATACTTGTTAAGATATGCCAACTTCTGTCTCCTTTCTAACTTACAATTAGTCATCCCCTCTCAGTTACACTTTACATTATGTAATACAACTTTTCAAGGACAAAAGTTACCAATATCTGATTCGTCTAGGGATTTTTTTGATAATTATAATTATGATTGTACAGCTCATGAAAAAATTTTTTATTATTGATTACAGCCTGATTCCACACCGTATTTTTGGTACAAGTATGGAATTTTCAGCTTGAAAATCGGTAGCCCAAATTTCGCAGGCTGACCATAGATATCAGATGTGCGTCGGTAGATGATCGAACCTCGGACCATGTGCATGGTCGGCGAGAGTCCTAACCACTGTGCCACCGACGCACCAAAATGAATCGTCAAAAAGAAAATTTTCTTCGCTGTTTGTGCCTTTTTCTTATGACTCAATATGGGAGTGTTTCTTTCACTTTCTTTTTTATTTAATTAAATTTACACGTTGCTGTTAGGTGATTGGACCAAAGTACTGTGCCTCTGTTGGTATGCCTGGTCCTTGTATGGATGCTTTGACGATGTCTGAGGATGTAACTTGAAGTAATTTGGTGAATGGCATTTGAAACTACGAGTATTCGGTTCGAAGCTCGGTGGGAATACTATCACTCATTGGGGAATGCAGGTACTGCCTGATGACGAGTCCCAAAAGGACGAAACTTCTATTTCCTTCTGATTTGAACCAACCATCTTACTGTACAAACATACATTCTCTTATAAGAGGTATTGATTATGTGACTGTGCTGATCATACTTGTAGGTTGTGTATGCTGAAGTGTAGGTGGAGTGGAATTCGGACCTGGATGGTATTAGCTGAAAATCGAGTGTTTGTTCTCCAAGGATATGATTAGTGAAAGTGGTCCACCACCAAGTTGCGTATGAGGACAACTGTTCGCCGATGTCATTGCTTGATGGTGGCGGTACATACTGTTAACTGATAGAAGTTAAAGTTCATGATTCATTGGAGTACTTTCCAACGACTGAGTGGTTAACGGGTTAGCTACTTAACTTCTACATCCTAGGTCCAATTCAAGGTGAGTTCATGGGCACATACTGATAAATGGTCTCAAAGTAGAACGAAACAGTTATCTAGTCCTCTGTGGCTTCAAATGGTGTTAGTTCGTGATGTAATTTGATAGTCGAGTGCTTGAAGCAATGACAGGTTGTAAGACGAGTACATTATCTCTGACGTCGAACATTTTCTTGCTTTGGTTCATCTGTGACTTAGTTCTTTAATTTATAAATTTATTAGCTGATTAGCAGAAAGAAGGCAGGAATCCTTCGAAGTAGATTTCATACTTGTTGGCACTGGTCATTAAGACGGGTCTTAAATCTCGAAGGAACTCATGTCCCTGCTGAGATTCGACCCCGGGTCACGCAGTGTAACAGTTAGAGATGTTACCATGCTGACAAAATGTAGAGTCTTCTGAACACTTTGAGTTGCGATCTGCGAATGTTTGGCATGCGATTCGCTCCCGCCAAATGTGAGATGATGCTACAGAACTGGACTGGACTGCATTGACTCCTAGTTTAGAAATAGGGAGTGAAGTGGTAGAGCACGTTGACCGCTTCACTTATTTGGTAAGTACCATCAACCCCAACGGGTTGATCTCTAACAAAATCTCAGGACGGATACAGGGGGCTGGTTTCGCATATGCCAGTTTACGCTGTCTCTTACGCAGACGTGATATCCGGATGGCTACCGACCGAAGAGCGGGTGTACCTCTCAGCAGTCCGCTCCGTTCTCCTTTATGGATGTGAGCGAGACATGGCCATTGAGAGTGAAACACATGAAAAGCCTGGGTAGCTGTCTTTGATCACAGGTTCCTGCGTTCTATCTCCCGTGTGAAGTGGTATAATAGGGTGAGCTGTATTGAGGTTAGGCATCGGTCGAGTGCTAAGTAAGGAGGGGAAATCAATCGACGAGGCTGTGAAGTTACATTGACTGAGATGTTTAGAACATGTATTACTTATGCCTAGCCATTGCCTTCCTCTATGGGCAATGTTAGCTGACGTAGGATAAGGTTGGAAAAGAGCCAGTGGTGGTCAAACCAAAACATGGCTTCATCAGTCAATGAAATCCACAACACTTAGTTTAAGCCAGCTACTTAGTAAGGTGTAGACTTCCTGGTTGGGTTCTCCGGGATGGTAAGAACCAACGGCTGGAGACAATTGGCGATGTGGCTCAAAATCGTTCTCAATGGCTGGCGCAGATTCATCCACTCCTTGTGACTTAAATATCCAATAAAACTATGTTATTCTTCGATATTTCTATTCTTTTTATTGATATCTCTGTTTTCTGTCTCTATTTTGCATTTCTTCTTACTTTCCTCTCTTGCTTTATGTGCTGAGTGAAGTGTGGCGACTCGAACTGCTTCACACTGGTGCAAAGTTCTATGTTGAGATTAGCCAACCAGCCATGTATTCTACCTCATTCAATATTATTCTTATCATTCTTGGTATTTATTTTAAATGGATACTTGTTTGGTTTAAAAGTTTCATGCCATCATCTTACGAAAATATCAGAAGTGTAAATAAATCCTACCAGTTGAAATGGAATGAATATGAAATTCAGATATATGGTCTTGTTAAGTGATATAAACGTTTTTATAAACTTCTTATTACTTTTATGTCCTACAGATTTTCCTTGAAATTAATTTCCAGTCTTCTACTTCTTCTTCTTAATATCCAGGTGTCTGTCTACACCTAAATCCGACATGCCTAACAAACTAAAAGTTGCAGCTCAATTAATTCTAGTCGATCCCGTTGGATTACAAATTCCGCATTCAACATCAATGCCACCGTCATCTTCAGGATCACCTGGAACAGAGAATAGTGAAAATCAAAAGTCAGGCAATTTTCCTGATTTAATATTCAATTATGCTTATGAACGATTGAGTCAGTTATACTTTGATAGTACAATAATGTTGGATGAACAACGTTTAAAACATGTATGCAAAATAATTATAATTTTTTTTTATTAATGTGCTGTCATTTCCTATTGATTCATCGTTTAACCGAATGGATCTGCCTCATTTCGCTCCATGGATGCTGTTTTGTTTCTCTTGTTTTCTGAATGGAACATAGGACTTCACATACTTTTATGTTTCAGTAGCACTTGTGTTACTTTAACTGGCTGGGGTCGTTAACTTCTTGCCTAACCTCACCTCACTTCTTTTCCTTGCTCACAACTGAATAAGCGTCATTTAGGAGTATATATTAGTTGTGCACGGTTGGTGAAGCTTCTACCACTAAAACACCATTTGGATTATTAACTTGAAGTTGCTGACTTTGTCGTGAGGGCTGGCGGGGGACGGAAACAGTGGAATCCAAGACGCACACGTTTCCTTCTATCTAAAAATTCTCAACTGGATGTATCTACTCCATAATGAGTGATGGTATTCCCGTTGAGATTTGCACTCGGTTTTCATCAGTTCAAACGCCAAAGGGTTACCTGCTAGTCCACCCGGAGATCGTGAAAGCCATTTATTGTACAGCTAATGTGACTTGAAATTAATTATTGTAATAATTGAAGTTGAGTTAAACAATCGTTGAAAAACTAGAAGCTTTGGTAGATAGTATTTTTTTCTTCGTTGAGCACTGTTTACCGATGTGTATCGTCAACTTTATGAGGTATAGATGACAGTAATGACTGTCTGAAATAGCTTTCGTTGACAACTTCAATTGTTTTGGTTTCTAAATATCATGATTAAAATGTGAATATTTGAAGTCACTTGTTCTCAAAATTTGGTATTCCTTATAAAGAGTTGAAATCATTGTAATGACCAAAACTTACGTATTTCAATCTGAACACTGGAACCAACCGATACACTCCTTTCTGTAAAGGCTGTCTAACTTTCACGGGTGACAAGTAATCAAAAACTATTATTCCGTTAATATCAAAAAGGCACTTTACTTTTTGGGATCTGTGATAATACTCAACAATAATAACTTATATCAAACGTTAAAATAACCACACCAACAATGCTAGCTGGTAGCTATACAGTCCAAAAGTTTCTTGGGTACAAAATAAGTACTGTACACCAAAGTTAATTGACACAGTATGCAATTGTAAATTACCTGAGAATCAATAAGGATTTTTCCAAAGAGTTGGGATCAAAACGTTATCTGCAAGAACTTAACAGAAAAAAACACATTTCCAACAAATACTTCAGGGGCAGATGAGTTGCTCCATAGATTAACCTTTACCTGACTGAAACGAAATTGTATTCAGAAAAAATAACGGATCAGCAACACTATCCTTATTTAATCTAGAAAGCATCGTTTCAACTACAAGCGGAACGGATCAAGATGTCGAATTCAGAATCGGAAAGGCAACATACGCCTAAATCAACCTGAAACTAGTTTGGAAATCTTCTGCTGTCACTCACTTAGCCAGCATGAACAATAAGATTCGGATATTTAACACAAATATCAAGTCGGTCCTTCTATACGGGTCAGAAATTTGACCAGCGTGTCACGAAAGGGATTTTCAACAGGTTGCAGAATTTTATCAACAGCTGCCATCTTCGCTGGCTCCATACTGAAGATCGAATGGCGAGCTGGCCGACGAGAAAGAATTAGCAACAAAAAATTCTGGATGGGAACAAACCAACAAGAAAGAGCCTATTGTTCAAAAAACATGTAGGATAAAATGGAGACGTATTGGGGATACGCTACTGAGGGGCCTTCGAACGACATCGCACTCAATGCAGGCCACTGCTGGAGTGTAATCCAAATGGGAGGCGATCGTGCGAGAATGGGGAGGAGAAGATTAGGGATTATGGGCAATTGTCTACCCATCTGAAGAGGATGGCAGAAAATAGAAGAAAGTGAAGATGTGTTGTTGAAGGTCAATGTTTCACTTGGAACCCAGGGGACAATAATAATAATAATAATAATAATATAAATCAACACTATCATATAATAGCAAACAGAAGCATTGAAATTAAGGACCAACCAAAAATAAAGACAAATAAAAATCGATTAAGTCAAAAGTAAGTATGCAAATGTTTGAACAATAGTATAAATAGCTAAGAGAGAAGGAGGGTTTTGATCATGAGTTGACATCAGTTACAGAACCATCGAAAAACCACCAGGGAGTACAGTACAGCTGCTTCTTCTTACTTTGGTACTCTTCATCAATACGTACATAGTGAGGTTTGATCGGATCCCAAAGGCTGAACGATCTAAGAGCTCACCTTATAACTGGAAAGTTCTTGGTTCGAACTTAAGCGGTGGATGCGTAATGATGAAGAGTCTCAAACTGGGACGAAACAGCTGTCCAGAACTCCTTAGTGGTCTTGCAGTGATTCTTTAACTGATATCAACTTGTGATATGAACTTGTAGCCAATCAGATTCCTGATTGAAATATTGAAATAAGTTTTCTTTTTATTTCCTTCACGTTCCCAGTGGAACATAGGGCCTCAAGCTAGTGACTTGAAGTTTCTGTTGCAGTGTTTAATTTTACAGGATGGGGTCGCTAGCCTCATGCCCAACCTCCCCTCTTCACCAGTCTTATTACCGGCTAAGCGAGGTAAAGGAGTGCGTTGGCGGCCGGGGATCGAACCCTGGTCTATGTACATGGTTGGCGAGCGTCTTAACCGCTGTGTCACTGACCCCTATCGTAAACAGATTATTTATAGAGAAATTTTCAGATAGATCATTCTGCTTCACTCTTGTCAATATACTCAACGTAATACTAAACGTAAAGCCTGTCTCCGTTGGAAATCAAATTTTATATGTATATATCTTTTTTGATCGATTACTAGAGAAAAGTTTTATGTGTAGCTGATAGAGGATTTAAGGGAAAGTGTGTTTGTTTTTTCGCATACGATAAAATGATAATAATCATAATATACTAGTACGTCTGATACGGGGTAGAATTCTCAGCATGTTGTACAAAATATTGCTTCTAATTGTCTCTTTACACTAAATAATCAGGGGGAGGCGGAAAGTAATTAACCACATTATTTGCATTCATGATGATGATGATGATGATGTCAATAAAAAACTAAAATTGTAAAATTCAAATTAAAAATTAATAGAAATGATATGACAACGATAATATTAACGATAGGAGGAAGAAGAAGATGATGAATGAAGAAAGGGCCTTTTATTTATTTATTTATTTACTGTTTCTCAGTAAGCTACTAGGCTTTATGCCTAACGCATGTTCTCATCTCAGATAAAATGTTTGCTAAATAAGGTATCGTTGAGGCCGCTATATTTCGCCTTCCGAGGATTTTAAAGTCTTTTAAAGTTCTTGCTATTCCTACCTGATGCAATACAATACAAGCAGAGAGTTGCATATGTAATGAGGATGTTCAAAGTCCAACAAGATGATGTTCACCAATTTTTGGCATGATTTCAAGTGTCTGTCTACAATAGTGTTAACGAGTTGACTTAGCGCCACACTAGTTCCCAAACCGACAGACTAAAACTAAGTAAACACGAGAAATTCATCCTGTTCTCTTCAGTCCTCTACATGTCACTCTTGGACCGATTCCCAACTCATCGTTTCCTATTGGGGTTCCACTCGAAGCCCAAGATGGCACATGATTTCCCTAAAGGTTTGCTCAGAATATGTCGAATCCATCTCCATTTCCTCTAGCGGTATATTTTTGGATGATAAGTTGTTGGTCGGTTCGTTACTAGGAGTTTCTTGTTGTTTATCCTTCCCGGGCAGCCAGTCATTTTCAGTATGGAGCGAATACAGGTTGTTAGGAGCAAAACCGACTCGTTGTGGCTTGAACGGAATAAAAACGACCTACTGCGTCCTACTGTGTAGCTGGCGAAACTTCCTTGAGAGTCGCACAATTACAAAACGCTCCAAAGACGGCGGCGAAAGGACGACTATTCGTGGTTAAATCTGTGTGCTTCCATTCAATAATACTTATAACAAAAACTCAGAATTACGTCAACAGTGCCGTTAGGCATTTATACAGACAAGATGACTTTCTGAGCAAAAAACAACTAACTGGGAAAAGGTGGAGTATTTTTGAAAAGCTGGGGTCAGAAACACTATCCGCAAGAATTCCGCAGCATTCATTTCTCGAATGCAGTCTAAAGTCAGGATGACCTTCACTCACTCAAACAAAATTACATCGTCAAATACCATATTATCAGTGTATCGCACAGCCACAAAGAGAAGCAGTAGAATTAAACATCAAAGGAGAACAAAGACAAATAAAACAGAATCAAGCACAGTGGTTAGGACTCTCGCCTACCATGCACATGGTCCGGGGTTCGATCTCCTGCCGACTCACACCCGATATCAGTGGTCGGCCTGCAAAATTTATTATTATTATTTCCTTTAATTCCTAGAGGAACATAGGGCTTCAGCCGCGCGTCTCCATTGCTTTCGGTTCTCTGCCAACGTTTTCACCCGGCTCCAAGTCTGCCCACATGCTTTTATCTCCTCTTAACATGATCTCCTCCAAGTCAACTTCGGAAGACCAACTCACCGCTTCCCTTTCGGGTTCCACTCGAGTGTTTGTCTAGTGATGTCACTTAATGGTTTCCTCAGAATATGGCCAATCCCCTTAAGTCCATTTCTTCCTGCCTGGTCCCTGGTTGGTTCGCTGATTGCCAGAGATCCCTGTTGCTGATCTTTTCTGTCGGGCCATCTGATCTTGAGTATTGAGCGAAGACAACTGTTAATGAAGGTCTGTAGTTTGTTTGAGGTGCTCTTTATGACACGGCACCAAGTCTCTGATCCCTATAGTAGGACTGACTGACTTCACATTGGAGTTGGAAATCCGGATGTTATTTTTGATGGTGAGTGCTGTTGACCTCCACACAAACTTGAGAGTACTGAAAGCTTGTCTTGTTTTCGCGACCCTTGCTTTAATATCCTCGTCAGTTCCGTCTCAGGTAGGTAAAGGAGGTTGTTTCTGCAAAATTTGGGCTACCGATATCACATGTTGAAAATTCCCTACTTCTACTAGAAAAAAAGTACTATGTGGAATCAAATGTCAGAACAGTTAAATGCAGCATAGGAGAAAAGTGGGTAATAATCACAAAGTTTTTTCGAAACATCTAAATAAATATCAATGTTGTGTTCATATGGTTCAAGGAAGGGGGGTGGGATTTTCCAAACAGCTATCCTGTTACACATGTGATGATGCAGGTATGCAGTGTCTTGCTGGAAATGCTTTTGGTGTCGTGTTCTCCAAGTTTCTGAAGCATATACAAGCTTTGACTGACATAACATTAATACTGAAAAATCCGGATTTCGTTCTGTATACTGAATAAGGAATATTTCAGTGTAAAGTAGACCTATCTCGGTTTTCCTATCCTCTCTGTTGACTGCCTGCCCCTTTAGATGATACTATCTAGATGAATGAAAGATGTGTGTCAGAGGAACGATAATAGTAGAAAATCGAACGAACATACAGTTATGTGGTAGACTGACAGATGTATTCACCTTATCTTTTTTTCACTTTTACTCTTTATTCTCACCTCTTTTTGTTTCTTCTTTTTTCGTGTATGTGTGGTTAATTTCTCTCTAGGATGGTCTAACTTCACCTGTGCCATATGAGAATTTCTGTCGTACAAAGAATATTTTAAACTTCATCGACAATACATCATTTATTAAGGTAACACATTGTTTTTTTTTGCGTTTTAATTCTGTCAGTATATTTCGTGTTTATTATATAATTTTCGTTGCCTATCGTAGACAGGCAATTATTTGAAGAATTATTGTTTATTATGAGTGCTCTGCTATTAGTGTTGCGGTGTAATTTATCTTCTTCCTTATTTGTCTAAAGCTATAACTCATCTACGGTGCGTCGGTGGCACAGTGGTTAGGACTCTCGCCGACCATGCACATGGTCCGGGGTTCGATTCCCTGCCGACGTACACCTGATATCTATGTTCGGCCTGCGAAATTCGGGCTACCGATATCCACACTGAAAATTCCATACTTGTACCAAAAATACAGTGTGGAATCAAGCTGTAATCAAAAAAATGAAATAAAATAAATGTTTCTTCTTAGTGTTTATGCAAAAAAGGTCGTATAGTTTGCAGAATGTTGAGTCTAGTTTTGAAAATTAATTTCATTGTTTATCAAGTATTGATTTTGTAGGGATTTTTGTTTGATTGCATGGAGGATTTCATCATGGGCTGACATTAGTTAGAGAACCACTGAAAAACCTGAGAGTACTGGACACCCGTTTAGTCCTAGTTTGGACCTTTCATCAGTACGCATTCATCGGGGTTCGAACCCAGAACCTTCTGGTTACAAAGCAAGCTAGCTCGTAGACCATCGAGCCACTGGGACTCGATCCAATGGTCTTTGAATTCTAACTTATGCCAATTCATGACGTAGCGCGACCACTTCACAATGTCTTCTTCGATGAGTTAATGTCTCATCTTCAACCTGCTTTACCCTACTGGTCACGGCTTCCCACCGGAGCTGAGAATTCAAGGACCATTGGAACGGGTCCCGGTGGCTCGATGGTCTACGAGTTCGCCTTGTAACCAGAAGGTCCTGGGTTCGAACCCCGGTGGCTGCGTATTGATGAAGGGTCTCAAACTAGGACTAAACAGGTGTCCAGTACTCCCAGGCTTTCTAGTGGTTCTCTAAATAATATAATTTACATAATACCCTGCAATGACTGTGAATGAGGTCAACTACACAGGTGAAACTAGTAGGTCGAGGGTAGTCATATTATCAGAGCATTAGAATTTAGCTTAGGTAAGAATGTTTGACCCCGAGAAGATAAGTGATTTAGAAAAAAGCTCAGCAATTGCACTTCACGCAATAACACACAACCACACAATAGCATGGTGGGAGAGGGTTAAAATACAAAAAAGTAATATAGGTAGGTGAAGAATGGAAGATGTCGATTACGGAATCCTTATTCATCGAGTCTACACCCTACACATGCAATAGGAATGATTTATCACTCATACCGGAAATATGGAAAATACTAATACTAATCAAATCAAGCGATGAAAAATAATGGAATAATATAAACGAAGTTAGAAAGTTGTGTGAGTACCTTGATATGATTATGAGGAGCAATAAATTGTGCTCGAAACGTCATTGGTAAATATTACTGTATAACACTGTGAGACTTTATCAAAATAAATTTGACCGATAATGGAACTATACTCTACCACAGTACACAAGTTTTATTCTTAGATGAACTCTCTCAGAGATAAACTTTGTTTGCTGAAGATCCCAATAGGTCCTATTAAAAAAAATAATAATAAAATAGTTTACCAAATAGCATTTTAGGACTGTGAGTGAGGTCAATTGCATAGGTCAAACTAGTAAGTCGGGGTCATTTAGATTATTGGAACATAAAAATTTAGCTAAACCTAGATTAATTGACTCAGGTAAGTGAAGTAACCTAGAAAAAAGCCCGGCCATTGCATTGTGTTTGCTTGCATGTAATCACACAACGATATAGGGTAGGACAGGGTGAGAGTATTAAAAGGTTATATGTTTAGGTGGAGAGACAGAGAGGTTAATCACTGAAGCTTTGTTTATCGATTTAACACCACGGCACACGTGCAATCGAAATGACACAACACCTATACCGAAGATATGCGAAGTGGGATAGAGAGAAAAATATGCATGCAAGTTGTTTATTAGATGTATCACACAGTGAAACAGTATTATTTACTGGATAACGTTTCGAATAAAATTTATTGTTCATAATCATATCAATTGTAATCACGTTGACACATTCACTGTACTTAGAACAAAAGATATAGATAAATTTTTTGAACACATTCACTGAAAGGTGGAGGCAATTCAATTCACTTATGAATTGGAAAGTCAGGAAGGGGGACTTCCAATGTTAGATTATAACGTGAAAAGGGAAGAAGATGGGAAGTTAAACACTAGTGTTTACAGGAAGCCCACACATTCAAACAGACATCTGGATATCCGATCATCCCATCCTATGTCAGGAAAAATAGGATTGGTGAAATGTTTAAGTGACAGAGCACAAAAACTAAGTAGTATTAAGGAAAATCTAAGACAGGAAGTGATACACATAAAAGAAGCCTTGAAACTTAATAATTACCCTTATAAATTAGTCAGAAAGTATGTAGGAAAATCTAAAAATAAATAATAATAGTAGTGATAGTGATATTAATAATAATAATAATAATATTAATGAAGACATGTATGTCAAACATTCATAGAATAATGAAAACACCAAAAACAGGAAATCGAAATGATCTGTAGTACTTCCATACAAAGAAGGAAACTCGGAAACCACCTTAAGGAGGATTCTTAACAATACATGCAGGAATAAAAGTGGCTGGTATTCAAACCCACAAACTCAATTAGAAACAAGCTTTGTGGTTAGAGCCTTTAAAACAAAACAATTTAGTTTATCTAATACCCTGCTTGAATGATTGTCAGGTCAAATATATAGGTCAAAATAGTAGAACAAGGGCAGTCAGACTAGCCGAACATAAAAACCTAGCAAAATCTAGATTGGTTGACCCAAATAAGATAAGATATCTAGAGAATAGTTCAGCTATAGCACTACATGCAATTATACACAACACTGTCATGAAAGAAAGAGGATGACAGTTTTAAAATCTAATGTCACAGGGTGAATGGAGGGAGAGATTGATAACAGAAGCTTTGTTTGTCGATCCAGCTGCAAATACATGTAGTAGGAATGATTCAACAGCTGTCCCAGATATCTGGAAAATTCTACCACCTCTACGACAAATAGGAGAGGACAAGGGAAACTATAAAAATCAGGTTTCAGTCGTGTGATTAAAATTGATATTATTATCAAAAATAAATTTTGTTCGAAACGCCAGTGTCCAATAAATAATACTGTTTCACTAACATGTATCAAACAAACTAATATAGAATTACTTACCACCACAATGCTTAAGTTTTACACATATATTTGTATACAAGATGAACTTTGAAGCCGTGTGACTAAACTGACATTATAATAGACAATAATCTATGTTCGTAACATCATCCACTTATCAATACTGCATCTTTGTATGATATTTAAAATAAACCTACCCTAGTGTGCTCAAGTTCTAATTTCACAACTGTTTTTCTAATGGCTTCATCTCCTTTCAAATTTTATCATGCAAAGGTATACGCATATATTTGTAGTTTTTAAACATATTCCTACACCACTGGTGGTGATCTCAACCCCCGAAACTAGAGAAACGACCGGCTGATGTTTGCATCACCTCGATCTGGCTAGCAAGTACTGCTCGTCGATATGACTGGTATACAACTAATTAATCATCTCAATCAATCAAGAGTACGTAGTTTTAATAGTATTCCTGACTGAATTCCATTTATCTTAACAATACTTTGACAAATCAGTCTTATCTTTATCAATTTTGTGTGTGTGTGTATGTGTGGTCTTCTAATGAGATATTCTACTAAGCAAAAGAATTCGACACAGAATCACATCACCTGTTCATAATTAGTGTGTCTTCTCTCTATATATATGGTAGTTTTATGACTATTTGTGCATTTACAACAACTAACTTCAAAATTCGATTGTGAAGTGTTCATTTTATTTTGATAACCGGATGGAGCATCTTGATTTTATGGAAAATATGTACCATTCTAAAGAATCACTTAAAACTCACTTATCTTCGGCAATACAGATGATTGATCATAGCGGTTATATACACGTATACATCATTACTATTCATAATACTTTCCATGTTTTTAAAATCATTGTCAACCTATAGCCCCCTTATATTATTTGCTATATTACCCAACTCATTTGAATGACTTTCCAGATTTATTTCTAACTCAATTTTCATTCTCCCGTTAGTCGATTGGACCGAAATATTCAGCGCCTGTCGACATGTCGACTCCTTGTACACGGATGCTTCATCGATTTCTGGTAATTTAATAGATGGTCACTAGCAGTGGAATTCAGTGATGTACATTTCAGTTTTAATTCTCACGGTAATTGAATTTTAAAAACAAAAACAAGTAATAACAGGTGCTGGTTGCACAAGAGTTGGCCCTTATGGTTCAGGTGGTTTGAAACGATGGGTACTGGGTTCGAGCCTCAGTGGGAACACCATTATTCGGTGGGGATTGCAGGCGTACATCCAGTGGCTGACGACTCTGAAATAGGACAAAATGCGAATCCTGGATTCTACTGCTAGTCAATACCCACTGAATTAGTTCAACTCTCGGAATTCTTTAGAAAAACACTCCTTTGAATGTGACTGACTGGTGAACGAAGAATATTCTTTTGGATAACTCCTTCTTCATCAGATTCTACAATTATATATTGATAATAATTAAAGAATTATTGTTAATAACAGCATTAATGTTTTTATTCTTAAATAACATCGATTCAGTAATAATCAATGTAACACTAAATTGCATATCAGATAAATCAAGGAAAATAATACAGAATTTATAAATTTATAAATTCCACAGCAGGCCACGGTGGCAATAATGTCTGAACCTGTTTCTTTTGCATATATAGCTCTTATTGTTTTAGGTGAATTACAATGGCTTCTGTTGTCTGGAATATTCAGTACGTTTAGGCTTTCTACAAGTTATTTGGTACATGAGAGTTGATAGGAAAAGATTCTTTGATATATGCTCTATGGTCTGTTT